CGAAAGAACCCCTTCACTGTTGGAATGCTAAAGCAACGCATGCGACTTTTAAAAAAGGTGTGTCATCACAACTCATGACTTTTGCAATTGTTCCTAGTTGGGCAATTCCACGAACACGCTGGCACCGATTGACCACTTGTCCTCGACAAGTCACTCCAAAACGGCTTACGGCATTTGCGAATTCCACTAAGAGTGGAAAATCAATTATATCTTGATCTGCTCTTCTATGTACAGAGACAAGATATTTTTGTCAGGTTTCAAACACTGGACGGCGATCATTTCCCGAAAGAGAGGCGTTGGCCACGAAGCTGACCTCGGTTATATACCAACATATAGTGTTGGCAAGTAAAAGCGGCTCTCCAGCTACCTGTCCATTATGTCAATTATAACGTTTTATGCTATATTTTCACAATGGAATATGAGGAAAGTTCCTAAATTTTAAGATAACTAAATTTTCATTCGCACGGTGACAACCGAATGCGGCGTAATAGTGTAATAATACACTCAAGTGGCGATCTGGGAAACGGATCGCGCTCTTTAATGTGCTAAAAAGACAGTAGGGCGCGCAATTTATCAAGCTGTCGATGCACCGAAAATTCTCTGTAACGCTACGATTCCAGACAAGAAAATGAATTATGTACTTCGGTACATCACTTCCACATATAGAACGCTGAATCATTAAAAAAAACCATTCCATCCAATAAATTTCGCTAAGGCCGACGTCATACTTTGCGATTCGATTAGCGATTCGCTCGATTCGCTAGCGAATCGCTGGCGAATCGCTAGCGAATCGAGCGAATCGCTAATCGAATCGCAAAGTATGACGTCGGCCTAACGGTGATCTCTGTTGAGAAAATTCAGCTGGAAGTACGTAGAGCCTTTATATTATTTTTATGTAAGTCGGAGCAAGATTAAGTAATATAGTTGAAGCCACTCTTTTAATTAAAACCCGTACTAAAAAATTTTAAATTACATTGAGCCGAGCCCAGAACTACTAATAAGTGTTGTGGCGTATAACAAACCCTTTTTCTGTTTTGCTGTTTCTAAAACAATAGCTGAAAAGACTAACCAAGGACCGAGCGAGCACGAGAAAATTTCAACAAGAATGTTTGCAAACATCTTTCCGTTCGAAAAAACACTGTAGCACAAGAGAGACTAAAAGTTTTGAGAACCTGATAAATCTACTTCAAATTACAATTGCAAGCCATACATTGCGATCGATCGGATTAGATCGAGCAAAACCTTGGAAAAGAATGTACGTTCACTACGACAGTAGAGAACTAACGGATGATTGCGAGGCGATCAAAGTGGACTAATATTTTATTAACTTCGCTATTCCATACCGTACAAATTTTACCAAATTTCACCCATTAATTACCTTTGCGGAAACAACAGCTCAGGAATTGCTCCTCAAAAAGGCCACATTTTCTTTCTTGAATACATAATCAAGACAATAAAAAATCAAAAACTAAAGCAAGTAGTATAAATTTAATTCATAAGATTTTAGGGCGCACAAAGGTAAGTGGCAGCTTTTTTCACCTCCACTAACTAACAATTAGGTACAGCTGCACCCTGGGAAGCAAGCGTACTACAGAGGACTCGTGACTTATTGACAACAACTTCACAACTGTCTCTGCAACGGTTTTGATTATTCACAACTGTCGCGAAATTCGGGGACTAGTAAACAACGAACGCCACACAAACTTCAGCGCATCACACTACCACTAGGTCATGTCAAGAAAGCGAAGATCATTCCGATGATTCACACTGGACTGAAATCATGCAGGACCAGAATACTCGTCAATGACCAATCTACTTAACTTAATGTTTCTCCGTTTTATAGGCCTGTATTCTTACCATCCCGGGTAACCAATGGCAACCACTTTCCCACGAATGGTTATCGTTAGGATGAATCGAACAAGGAATTGTAAGGAGTAGACAAAGTGACCACACGTTCCCGTGGCAAACCTTAAAGCAAAGGCTACCTCACTTCCCCTCTAAAGTAAACACTATTTCGTAAGCTTTGTACCGCTCGGTTCGCTCGCTTACTGTGCGGTTATGGCTGCTGGGAAAAATAACCTACATA